CATATCCAGAGTGTCTGTTGCGAAGAACTGACTTTGGCTACAGCTGGCACCTAAACACAAAATTTAAAAGAACAAGAGCTTTTACAAGTTTTTGTGACTTCAGTGGCTCAAGAGAGAGAGAGCAGGTCATCCACTGTCAGGTCGGTGGTTCGATCCATGGCTAACTGCCCTTGCCCAACATATTGGACCCCAACTCATTTCCAGTGCATCCATCAACGTTTGATAGCAGCATTGCAATATAACTGTCAATCCATGACGTGCCTTCAGTGTGTGTGTCTGTGTGCGTGTGTGTCAAAGGGGCAATGGATGAGCAACTGAAGTCCAGAATACCCCAGATATGCTATGGTCGTTTTTTGTTGTTAACTTGAACTGCGTTGTTCGGACGACTTTTGATGAAGTCAACCAGTTTCCATTTATAAATACTCCTATAAATGATCTATTATTACTTTGTTCCATATTTAAGATGCAGTAACATGATTTTAAGCCAAAAAATGTTAAAGAAAATATTGGCAATATCAGTATCAACTCGCCAAAATAATAACCAGCAAAGTAAACACTGGCTAATTAAACTGGTCACTCTTGGTTTAGCTGGTTTTGCAATCTGTTTAGCGCTTACTGCATAGAGGTTTCTCCTGTTATGTTGTGCTTCTATTACATTAGAACCATTTGCCATATTGGACCTAATAAGGTTCTAAGAATAAAGTCGTAAACTGCTTTCTAGGCCTGTGTAACTGAAGCATTCACTTGATCCTACATTGTTATTGTGATTATCACACGTCCAAAATGGTCAACTTCACGTGGTTAGTGCTCACATGTTTGCAAAATCTCAGTGTTGACCACATTGAAGTTGCGAAATATGATCTCATATTTATTATGAATTTCTTTCTTTCTTCTCTGATGTGGGTTTCCCACTTTTCTGTGCAACTGTGATTTATTTATGCAACACTTCTTTTTTTAGTGTACCTCTTATCTCAGGGACTCTGTCTTAATATATGTTGTTGTGCCAGTGCTATGAGCCTGTTTTAACTATGATTTGTTCATGTCCAAAATGTAAACATCCCTTAATATTGCTGCACTCCCACAGTTACTGGAGTGAACTCAAGCCAAAATAGAGAGTCACTGCCAAGACCTTCTCTTATCTTGCTTCACTCCCACTCACTAATCTCGGATTAATTCGATTAATTCTGATCTGTCTTTCCATTTTCCAGACCAGCGTGCCTTCTACCTAATAAATTCATTGACGATGCAAAATGGCAGTATCCATTCATCCAGTAAACTTATTTTTAAGGGTTTTCTTTTTCTTTAGCAGCTCATTTGTCTTCAAAATTCTTTTTGTTCTTGTGTTGTGAAATTGTTCTAACATTCAAGTAATATTCAATTTGAGTCTTAAAATATTCACTAATAAGAGTTACAGTATGCATTAGGAAAACTTACCCCAATTACAGAGCAAAATACAATTTGAATAAAAGTGCTGCAAGGACATATTTCATTAAATTTTAAACACTTGATATGAAAGCAATTTCGATTTTTTCTGATTAAAGTCAAGTTACAGAATCGCAGATGCTTCGAAAAGTCCATATTGCATATCAAACACTGGAGGCATGCCATATTAATGTTCCTGTTAAAAGGACAATGACACTAAAAATGTATTTCATAATGCATGTTTGGTCTTTAGAAGCAATATGCAATTTGCCATTACACAACATAACTGTGCATTGTCACGAGCACTCATTATTTTTAATAAGCCAGTGCCTAAACATCTAAACTATTTTATCACCAACTGGAAAAGAAAAAGTCTGAGCTTTTGTTGCCCTCTGCATTGTTTCGGTGAGGGAGCAAAGGTGGAACGTACTGAGATGTTAAGCAGTGATTGACAAAATGCGATACACAGGGATCAGTAATTGGCTATATGATGAAACAGTCGTGATTCAAAAAGTGTATTTAAAGAGATTACGGACAATTTACATCAACACACAAGCATATCGTGTCTATGAACAGGTTAGAGGTGTTAATAAACCTGGCGTATTAACTGGCTAACTTCCAAGTACAATCCATCTATCCATTTTCTTGCACTTCTTCAATTCAGGGTTATAGCGGGTGGATGCCCATCCCAGCTGTCATAAGCAGATGCATCCTGGACAGGTCACTTTCTGGACTAACACAAAAAGACACACAGCCAAAATGACCAATGAATGTCTTTGGAATTGGGGAAGAAGCCCACATAGAAAGACCCCAGACTGGATTTAAACCCAGGATCTTCTTGCTGCAAGGTGACCAGTGCTAATCATCACACCACTATGCAAGCATGAAAACAAATTAGCATCAGTCCACACTGTCAAGTCAGACTAATCCCAACCCAACTAAGTCCTCCCACATTTATGAAAGGAAGAATTTTATCACTTATATATAATTTCAGATTGCTCCCAACACAGGTTGTTGCTTAAATAGACCCTTGTATGTTGCCTTTTAGCAAACCTTGCACATCAGAGAAAGCAAGTGTTCCTGATTAATGTTCCTGCAGTTCAGTCTGTTTATTTTCTACTTTTTGTGAACTGAGGTGCATAGTTTGTTTATGCACTCGGCCGACGCTGGATGCGTCCTCTTAATTTCCCTGGTTGCTCATTGTAGACCTGTACATTCGGTCTATGCTAGTTTCCAGCCACTTGTGCCTTACAGCACGGTGCCTCACATTGCTTTCCAGCTTTCACTGGCTGTAGGTGACAAGGAAGAAGCTTTCCAGTCACATTTCAAAGAACGAAAATAACAAATCTGTCCAGGGAAGTGAATGTGAGTATAGGTTTCTTATACGGAAAACGTACGCCACAAACATAAAACTACTAATGCGGGGTGTTGAGGGGGAGCAGAATGATTGGTAAGAGTCAGGGTCTTTCATTTTGTCATGTTTCTTTTTTCCCCATTTCTGGGCTGATTTTTCACTGCAGGGCTAGTTCCATTCACTTGAATTTATTATTTCTTGCACTGAGGAAGCTGATGAAGTCCAATGTCTGTAAGCGAGCTTGTGCGTGCCTCCGCGCACATTAACGCTTGTGCTGGGTGTATGTGTGCGAGGAGATGAGACACGCGTCTCTTTATGTGTAAGGGAGCCACGCTTTCATGGCTGTTTCAGATCTCGCTGCCTCAGAGTTCGACAGAGCGACGGAGCCAGAAGCGAGAGGGAGAGATGGAGAGATAATAGGAATGGAGGGTGAAAGAAGGCTAACACAGTCTTTAATGAGTTTCCTTGGCTCTCTTTGCCTGTTTCTGGGTCAGGGTCCCCTGGCTGAGGATGTGGGTGGACTGAGGACGATAGAGCAGAAAAGAACAGTGTAAGCCAAGGTCTGCTTGAATAGACTTGTACATTATAGAGTCATCACCTACAGTACATAAAGATGCATGGGAGGAAAGGCCACGCAATGTTTAGCTTATTTTTTGAATTGATAGCGAATGATGGAAGTTAATCAAAACAACTAATGGTCTTGTTGTGGCTCTTTATTGCACGTACACAAACACAAACCCCAAAGGTCAAAGGTCACTTATAGCTTATATTCAATTAGCAGGAGCTTAGAAGTCCATAAAAAACACATCCAAGCTTACTCTTTTTTGATGAAATGCAATCACACACCTACAAAACAGGATGTGCAAATGGTAAATGGACAGGTTCTTATAAGACCTCACCTGCATCATAACAGGACAGAGACAGACCCCTCCTCCGCCTTGCTGAAGGTGGCTTTGGCCATTTTCTGGTTGACTCCTCCTGCCCTTTCATTTCCTAGCAATCAGCTTCAATCTGTGGCAGGTATGGAGGGAGAGATAACATTAGGGAGACATCATGGGGAGATATCTGCTCAGCCAAGACATTATTTAGTGCTCTCAAAGCATCCAAGAGGCAACCTCTGTCAGACAACAAGGCTCCAGCATGTCCACACAGGACAGAGAAATAGGTAGATAGAAGGACATGGAAGAATTACTGATGGGCTGATAAAGTATTTTGTTATCTGAACAGTCTGCCTTCCTGTTTCTGTCCTCCTGTGCTATGTTACTGTCTGTCTGCTGCAACTCTCTTTCAATGACTCAATCCATGTCTGTCTGGCTGAGTTACTTTGAGTGTCTCCCAGTGTTCCTCCCTCTCTCACCTTATGTTTCCCACTGTAACTCTGTCTCTATTACTTTGCCTTCTTTCTTTCGCGCTTGTGAATAATTAATGTCTACCGGTTCGATGGTAATAATAGAACAGATCTGGAGGTGACAAATGGGATGGCCAATAGGCTTCATCCTTCCTTCTTCAAAGAGTTACAAAGTTAGCTGGGCTCATTTGGTGGGCGTGTACACCCATATATTTGTGCCACTTTTTTTTTTTCTTCCCTCCATGTTTGTGTGTGCATGCACATGCAGTTGTGTGTATGTGATTTAAGACAGGGAGATGAAAGGGACTTGTAATTACAGGGAAGCATATCTGTCTACTGCAGAAGTATCCGAGGAATGGCATAAAATGGGCCAGAAGCCTGAGGTCATTAGATCTGGAGCATGTGTGCGTGCTCGCATGCCTGTGTGCGAGAAAGTGACAAAAGCAAAGAGCATGTGTGCGCGAGAGAAAATGGGAGACACGGATAGATCAGCTTATAATTTCAGTTCCTCGGAGTCGACCTCTGAACTCTGCTTCTCATTATTGGCTCTGCCGTGCTCGCTTCTCAGCAGTAGCTGATTGTGGTTAGACCGAGGAGGCAGTCTTATTGCCGGAGAGGAATCACAGAATTTCCTGCGCTCTAAAATACACTTGTGTAAACATTCCAAAATATCAAATGATAGGGATTTCACTGTGTGCTGTGCACATGGATAATCCCATGCAAAGGCTGTGGTTATAATACTGTCCCACTGTCTCTTGTCTGCTTTCCGCTCTTCCATCCCGTCCTCCCACTTTCTGTCTTGGGATTTTGGCTTCTGTTCTCCACTTCGTCCTCTCTTTCCTTCTAACCATTCTTCGTTTGTTTCTCTCTTCACAGTTGAGGATGACTTCATTGGTCTCGGTGAGCTGCCAGAAACGTTCCCCTCAGACCCCCCAGAGCCGCTGCCCGTGTTTTTAATGGAACCAGAGGAGGCCTACATAGTCAAGAACAAGCCTGTTAACCTGTACTGCAAGGCCACACCTGCCACCCAAATCTACTTCAAGTGCAACAGCGAGTGGGTTCACCAGAAGGAGCACACTGTGGAGGAGAGGGTTGACGAGAACTCTGGTCAGTAGAAAGATCGGCTACGTGCTGACTAGCAACTCTGTTTTAGAAGACATCATGCTGCACAGAGCATTAACAAAAATTGTTTTCTTCACAGAAATGCATCCTGACAGCTAAAACATGATTTGGTTTTATATTATCATTTAAGAAAATCAAAGCAGTTGGTTAAGGTTCGCAGAAGATTGTTGTTCTGATAAAAAGTTGAAAACGTAACCTTGATTCACAATATGATGTTTTCATATTTTCCCAAAAGCAAGTGTATGAGTATGAGTTCTGACAAAAGTGTCTTTACAAACATACGCTCAATGTGAATCTCTGCTTATAAATCTTATTGTCCAGCATATTTAACTGCTGACCTTGCCACTCAGACTGTAGGTGAGGTATCTTTCATTTGGCACCATCATTTCCATCACAATCATACGTTTATGCATTTGAGTGTGTATATTTTGTTTCGGTGCCTGCTCAATAATCCAGATAAGGATATTCCAGAAAGTTTTTCAAACAGTGTTTGTGGAGTGGAGAAAGAGTTTGCCGCTCATTCAACTGACCTCTTCAGTTTCTGCAGGTTTCCTCAACTTCATAAACAACACAGATTAGTGATCCTTTATGTGTCAGGAGTTTTAGCAACAGCTGAGATGCATTTTTTTCTCAAAAACACAATGTTTTTCTGGCTTTCAAACCTGAAAACACCCTACAGTACACCAAAAATTGTTCTGCCCCGAGGATCGGGTCCTCTGGCACAAGAGCAAAACGATGTACGCGATTAAGTGCTGAGGAGATTGCCGTAATTTGGGGATACCAAGCAACTTTTGGCACAACACAGAAGAGCTGCCTTGTTGGGCCTGAACCCCTACAGACCAGATGTCACTCCTTTAGCGATGATGTTGTCACATCCTTGTCGGGGGAGAAAAGGTGGTTTGAGCGGGAAAGTCAAGGAAGCTGCGTATGTGAAAAGAGAACGGCCATCTCTGAACTAAGAAAAGGGTAGATCTTTCAGTGCTGTGATTGCAGTCATTTCCCAATTTTCTGTGAATAGTACTCCTGACTGTGGATCAGTGTTCTTGTCAATTTACATTTTAAACTGAGCTCGTGCCTCGTTGGTAGTCAGTGGTTCCAGTTTCCGTCATTATGCAGCTGAGACTGAAGAGTTCATTTGGGTGAGTGATGAAACGTTTCTTCCACTGAAAACGTTGTGCATAGATGAACAGAATCAACTTTTTGGGATATGTCTGTTTACGTACCTGTTTTGTTGAGCATCAAGAGGAAGTGATGGTAGTGAAGCTCCGGTACGGTTGTTTTTAAGAATTCAGTCCCCAAAGGCACCAGAGCCATTACACACAACAGCCCAGCACTGATTGGCTGCATTCAGCTGCTGTATTGGAAATTGAGTTCGTTCTGTCATCCACAGGTACCAATCACATCGCATTTACCCTTTTCATTCCACTGTTTTGACACACACACACACACACACACACACACACACACACACACACACACACACACACACACACACACACAGATAGTTTCTCCTTTACTTAAACGTGAATTCACACACATATGAATACACTTTGAACATCGGAAAGCGTGTTTTAACTTTGGCATTTAATATAAAATACCTCTGAAGTTCCATTTTACTGCAATATACAGTATGGGGGAAACAATAGCAGTGTTAAAGATGACAGCCAGAGCATATACAAAAGAAGTGTTACAGCAGTGGTACAAGATACAAAAGCAGATACACAGACAAAAGGATTCTTGCAGTGAGCACAAACATGAAAGGAGTTATTGGGAAAAAAACAAGAAAAACAACACGCTTTCCAACCTGAAATACTTTTATTTTGTGACCTAGTGTACTTTAGGTAGAATACACCGATCTGAGCTTGTGTTTCGTAGTTATGATTATGACAAAGAAGGGGGTGAGGTATCAGTGGCTCTTAGCCTTTATGTCAGAAGGTTTTTAGCTAAAAGCATCAACACGGAAAACAACCCACACATCATACACGCACCCACTCTACATAGCCATATCCACAGGCTATTTACTGCAAAGACATTCATTCATTTATGCTCTTGCACCCAGCACAAACACACACAACACCACAAGAGCTCAGTGGATGTGTGTAGCCCTTCTCATCCCACTCCACTGCGCTCTGATTTCCCCAGATTGACAAAAAAGAAGCACCAATAGAAACTGGCCAGCATGGTCAATAACACTGACAGTGTAGCCTAAAGAAATCTGATATCTTCCTCTGTACGAGTAAATCTTGAGCCCATTTTCTCTTTTTCTCTCGTCTTACCTCTGTTAAGGTGTTCTGATCATAAAATAAGAGATTGCGAGATCAAAAATGTTTATGAGACAAAGGATAGAAATTCCATTCAACTTTTCCTTTAAATACAATCAATTAAATTGTTAAAACTTTAAATTTTTTACTCTTTACTCCTTGCACTTTTGCACAGTGCTATACATACAGGGGAACACTGTATACATATTTGACTTTTATCCCAAATATACACAAACAAAGGGAAGAGACATAGTGCAAAGGTTTTAAAGGGCACATAGTTAAAAAGATAAAACTAGGTTCTATTTAAAAGATTTCACCTTCTTCGATCAGTATTGTAGCATAAACCATACAATAAAAACACAGGGACATCCCAGAAAAAAACTTGGGAAAATGTGATTGATGAGCACATGTCAGGGAAAAGATACAATTTTCCTGTCACTGAACATGCTTTGGAGTACAGGAACATCAGCCTCTAAGAAATGGAAAGAGAATTACACAGCTGTAATTCTGCCAACTAAAAGCTTTCCTCAAAAACACATCTCTCTTTCTCTCTCTCTTTTTTTACTTACAAAAAGGACTTTTCTTCTGTTAAAAAGGCTACAAATCAGCTTTGACTCAATCCTGTGAGGCAGTAAAACATATAAATGTAAATGTTGCGAATACTTTTTAAAGGCACTGAATGACGCAAATGACATTCATTTTAAAATTTAAGATGTTTGCGTCATGAAATCCTACCGGCTGAAAGCACAATGTGTGCGTCATCAGTAGCTGGAATGCAATCAGCAATACAGGACTTGATTCACTGTACACAGCATGAACCAACTTACCTGCTGCCTTACATCACTGGTGCTGAAGTGGCTTCAGGTATATGTAATGTCTAAAGCTTTTTTTATTCCCATGAATCTAAGGTGCTGTAAGCCACAAGTAGCACATGAGCATTAAAAAAAAATACACTGCATAAAAACGATTAACACCTCAACAAGTGGCATGATTGTACATGATCTTTTTGTAAGGAGCCGGTGATTACATGCAGAGTAAAGGGGCCATTTGAAGCGTTTCTTTTGATCAGCAGCCAGTTATAAAAGTAAAACAGCATGTGCATTTGCCTGTGCAAAGGAAAAATAGTCCAAAAGAAAAAGGGAACTTATATTTACACAGTTTCCAGAAGGAAGCGTCATTCTGACATGTGGCCATAAACCATTTCAAATTGGTTGGTGCTAGATTGGATCAGCAGGAGGGCTGCTTTGCTGTGATTGGTTATTCAGTTGTCTGCCGTATGTGACGACAGACTCTCCTGACCATCTGGTAGATAAAGGTGCATTAGAAGAAGCGAATTAAAAAGTACTGTCTGAAATGTTTTTATCACTGTGAGCTTCACTTTATGTGCAGGTGTTTCACAAAGAAAGGCAGGTCATTTAGAACCAAAGCCACTGAGAAAACATTCATAATTTTAAAGGTAAGAACAAGGCATTAGCTACCCAGCTTGCATTACTAAAATATCATTGCACATTATGGCTTCAATAAATATATCTGAGTGATGTTCTGCTGATTATGTTAAAACTTTCCTGTGGTATTGTGTAAAATGATCAAACGAGGGATGTTAACTAGGAAATGGTTGAATAAATGCAATACTAGATTGTAATCTACCCACCCTGAATATGAGGTCAAAGGAAATTGGCTCATGTGCGCATCTACAATCATGTGAAAAGAACATTTTTACAGAACAGAGCATTTTGTGCAGTCCTGTGACAAAGTAAGTGCACCTTTACTGCTTCTATAGGACTTAATTTTGTTTGTTGGGTATAAAAAGAACTAGAAAGGACATGCAAGTAAGCCTGGACAGATACAACACCCAAGCAAAATAACTGGGTATTGAATGCAAAACCTTTTTGAAGATTTTGTAGGTGCTTAACGTGACCCAAAAACATTGTAGCATTTTTAAAGGCACTTCATAGTCTCTGTGAGTGGAGAGTGCATTGATCTGTGCAAATGAGTAGCAAATTAATTATATGTAGGTGCAGGTAGTGTAACGTACACCGGAGACAGCCTGTCACTTTCTCTGAGATATACGTTAAAAGATCTAACAGATGCACTCTTCATCTCACAAGAATATCAGGGCACTTATGCCTCCCACCTCCTCCATCTCTCCTTCAGTGACCAATGCCGCCTGTTTTTGCTTGACTGGTTTGATCAATAATGTTTCCTGGTGCTAACAATAGGCTGCTAGGCTAGCTCATGTTAAAAACCACATAAATAATGAATCCTCTCAAAATGAAGCCCCTTATTTAGCCAGTTATTAATGGCTTAGGAAGATAGTAGCCCTGCCTCACTGGCCCTGACACAGTTTACACACCTTGATTTTAAATTGAATGGCCGGTTTTATTTTGTTATCATTGTATTGATATAAAGCACACTTAGAAATTCTAGCTGAGCACATATGAAGTCACTGGATGAGGTCAGCGGGCTCGTTTCAGAGCTCTGATTTTTCCATCAGGGTGATTCTTCAGATGTGTTTGAAGTGCAACACAGGAAAGGAAGAGTTTAATCCAGGTTTAGTAATCCCCGTGAAGTCATGAATGACTCTTAAAGGAGACTGATAACCACTGCAGGCATCGTCATCATTTTCGATTCTCTAATGGTATAGAGTATGCTAACAACATCAGGCGGATAATTGATCACTGTAGAGCCCTTTATGTCTGCAGCGCTGACAGAAAAAAAACAAATGACTGATTCTTGCGCACGTTTTAGACCTTCTGAGAATTATGAGAATCTACTTACTGTTTCCACTATTGATTTTCCCTCTGCTAGACTGGATGTGATGCTCCCACAAAAGCACATCCATCATCACATTCTCAAACTAACAAAACATCCTCTCAGGCGAGCATACTGGCATCAAGTAGCGACGACCAGAGGCGCACTCTTTGGCACTCGCACATATGTGTTGAAAGCCATACACGCCGAAGCAAACGGTGACACAATAGACGTGGCTGTACCCCTGCCTGCTGGCACACTGTGTAAATTTTACATGAGAGGTAAGCTAGTGTGTGGGATGTCACTATGCTTGCTCTGTGCCAGAACAAGGAGGCTGTGTGAATTCACTGAACCTGAAATAAATTGGCATGTTCGTTTTTTAACCATCCAATTTCTTTTGCATTTTCCATTCAACCAGAATGTCACACAGCTACCATATAAACCAATCAGAGCTGTGCTCTAATAATCTAAGGAAAAAGGTTCAGGATTTACACAGAGATAATGGTTTTTAATGGGCATACCAGCAGAGCAGGATTAGTATTCACTCCTGAGATGCTGTCTCAGGCAGTTATCAGGCAATAATCTCTCACATAATAATTAGTGATAGAAAGTCTGCTGTTACATTAACATGAGTGGCAGAGATGACTGCACATATGTAAAACTAAAGTAACACTGAGCCGGCACAACGTTTGATTTGAGCCAGGAGCCTTGATTCAGATTACTTCTTTCTTTTCTTCTCCGGTTTTCACATCACAAACTAAATTAACAAATTGTTGCAAATTAGCTTATCATCTGAATCAGTTGGCAGAGATTCACGCTGCAAAGAGCTGGATGTCAGTCAGAGATTAGATTACTGATTAAATGCACATTGCGGCACAGATGAGTCAATGATCTATGACACAGTTTTGAGACTGTACATAATAGCGATGCCACATTGACAGCACATGGTGTCTCTTAGGTAAGCTTAGTTAAAAAGATATTTTTAGCATAATGGCTAAAGTTAGAAACACCCAGATATACAGTTTAGAGCTCTGGCTGATGTTGGATTTAGATGCCACAGAGCTGTTTTTGGAGATCTGTCAACACAACACAGTTGCATCTAATACAAAGCAATGATGATTTGACAGAATGGTCAGTACTACTGTCAGCGGTTGCTATAAGGCACACATACAGTAAGACCTACATAATGATATTTTCTGCTTTATTGGCTTAGCCCAAACACTGTAAGCTTTGTTGCTTTGTGATTTATTTTTTATTTCTTTTGTGGAAATTTCCAAACGTGATTATCTAGAGCAGGGGTGTCGAACATAATGCCCATGGGCCAGAATCGGCCCAGTCAGGCTGTGGAAAAAGTGAAGGAGGGCATACATTTTTTACTGTTTTCATAAGACCTCCCCCACTGGCCATTCGCACTACACCAAAGTAATAGAGATAAACAGTGACATGACAGGAATATTTTTTTCACCATCTGCTATAGAAATACTTATTTATTTTTTTATATGGGTCTTTGGTTTTAAAAAAAAAAAAGGTCTGTTTTATTATTACAAAACACTCTGAGCAATGAGATACCAGAAAATATTCAGTAATTTTGTACATTAATTCTCACAATTTAAGTCCAAAGAGTCGTGCTGGCAGATTTTTCATTTACTTGAGCAGCATTTCTTCATCTTGTATGAAACCTGAGACGTACTGTTGAAATTGCTCTTCTTTATCTTATAATAAGATACCTCAGAGATTCATTCGGGATGTTGTTAAACTTTACATTGAAAGAAAGGGCAGCTTCACTGGTCCGACCCAAGATGTAAAATGATTTTGACAGCTATGACTTAGAGAATGGTACAGTAGAAAAACAAAAAGTGCAAAATTCAAAACTGGTACCTATCAATACCTACCCTTAAAGTTGCAAATAGGTAATTTATTCATTTAATACAGTAACTCTAACTTTGAAGAAGAAAAAAACTCCCTTACAGTTGTAGTCTTTTGTCAACACAGGCATTAATCATTAATTCCACCACAGCCCACTGTTTAAATTAGCGTGCACTCTGTACAGCCCTTTTAATTTGTGCCCTGTCAAGAGACCCCAGCCACACTATTCTTTTTGAATTAACAGACAATGATAGGGGGTTGTTGCAGACAACCTAATGTTCAACAATAGGATTAAAATGACCCAAAGATTTGAACATTTTTGCAGAAATAAATAGAAAAAAAGTTTGCACCACTCTTTAAGTGCTGAGTTAAAATAGATTTGTTACCAATTCAACAAACAGTTAGTCATCGTCTCAGCTAACAACAAACCTTTCTACAGGGCAAGGCACTAAAACTCGATGACTAATGACTGGGGGGGAAGCAAATGACAGGCAGTGTTTTGGAACTGATGTCAGGGCCTGAATTTGGTATACAAACAACATGGTGCTGATGGCACAGGCAGCTGCTGATGGTGTAATGGTGCGGGGAATGCATACAAAAAGGCGATTCAAGAACAACTGGCAGCAATTTGATAGTCCCACTTTCACATCATTGCTGACCAGGTACATGAGCATGAGAGTTCCAGGAAAATGACATCAGCTTAATTTCTTTCCAGTAGGATACACAAACCCCTTATCTAAGCCTAATGGGGCAGCACTGTTGGGATGAGGTGGCATGGGATATTCACAGCGTGAAAGTTCTTTTTAAAAAATCTGCACAAATGTTGCAGGACTGCTGGATGTGGATCCATGCAAAATGCGAGATGTTCCAGTGTCCAGCAGCATCCAAATGCAGTTATAGGGACCATCTCCATACATATGGAATACTTTACTTCTATTAGTTACAAGCGTGCTCTCGGTTTAGTTCGGATACTTGTTGAGATTCTCATGATGTCTGCAAAACGCAGTCTGTTGCAAATGCATTTTTTTCTCAACCTAGCCTTTTTGAATGCATCATTGTCCTCTTAAATGTCCCATCCTGTCAGAAAAAATATTATGGATTGAGAAATGAAATAAGCACTGTACTTCAATAAACGTCGGTGTGTCACATAACGCACGCATAGACTGTTCCTAGGTTGCATGTACATAACTCAAATGCTCCAACAAATAGGCATTTACAGACATGCAGAGATGTGCACACGCTATGGTAGCAGCATAATCTGCTCTAGAGGGGCAGCTGTGGGTAGAGGCATTTGTTTTGGGGATGATTTGTTTGTTTGGGCCCTGGCACCCAGATGAGCAGTAATCAGAGGAGTTAGCAAACAGGATTGTGTTAGCCATGACGCTGAGAATCCTCCCCCACAAGGCCCAGACCCAAGCAGCTCAGTGCTCTGGCTCTAGAATCAGGACAGACTGACACAAATATGTGTTGTTTGAGTTTGGTGTGTATGATGTCACATTATTTTAACCATTTCAGCTGTCCATCTGTTTATATTTTCTGGTGTTCAAATTAATGTCATTTTCCTGCACGGTCAATTCTTTGTTTTTTGTTCTGTTTACTGTTTCACGTCTCCGTGATTTAAAAAAAAATCCTATATGTTCTTTTTCCCAGGTTTGGTCGTGAGGGAGGCCAGCATAGAGATCACTCGGCAACAAGTGGAGGAATTGTTTGGGCCAGAGGACTTCTGGTGTCAGTGTGTGGCCTGGAGCTCCGCTGGGACCACCAAGAGCCGCAAAGCTCATGTCCGCATCGCCTGTGAGTATACTCCCCCTCCTTTCATCCCTCTCTTCAGGCCATTATTCACTTATCGTCTCTCTCATCTTTGTATTTCTCTCCAAACAAAGCCTCTCGGTTGCCAAGAAAACGCATCTCAGCGACGGACTTGTGTATCTTCACAGATTCTGGAGATAGTAGCAGTGAAAAGGAGGTTTTGCTAACATGAGATTCAAGCGTCCCTTTGAACTTGAGTTGGTAAAAAGCCAGTACAGTGGTTTCCTTGCGGGCAGCACAGACCTGAAGAAGAAGCACAGAGGGGGAGAAAAAGAGCTGAAGTGGCGTCTGTGCACTAGGAGAGCTGTGTTGCATGTTTATGACTTCATTTGTGTATGGTCCTCCTTTGTTCTCGGTTTGTCGTCCTGCTGAAAAAGCACCACGCAATTGTTTCTAAATAATGAGAAACATTCTGTACTGGATCTAAAGTTTGGGCTCATTTTTTAACAGTTTTCCCCAAAGGATGTGGCAAAGAAAATCAGAAAAAAGGGTAATGAAACCCCAGAAGACATGATGCAGAAAGCAAGAGCTGCTTAAGTCTGACTGTGACATCAAGGCAACATTTTTGCAACACAGCTATTACGTGACACAACTACTTACACGTTTTTGTCAAAATTCCACCTGAAGGAAATCCTATTATAGTATCGGCTAGATCATTGCACTTCCACCTCCTGTCAAGTAGTTTCAAGGCACCGTGACTGACGCATCTTTCCCATCTTCACTGTTTCTCTTTAGACTTGTGGCAAACTGGGGAAAAAACCCCTGCAATACACACTTGGAGAGTGTATTGTAGTTTATGTCAAATATATTGTCAAAACTGGATAAGGATATGACTTGAGCTGTTTATGTTTGGTGGGGAACTGTCAGAATGATTTCATCTTTGCTATACAGTGCATTGGAAAGCACCTCGCAAAGTCAATATCCAGGATTTCACCTGAACCGCTCAATTAAAAGCAACTTAGCAGTGATGGAGCTGTCTCTCCCTATTTTTATTCGATCATCTCCACTTCTTTGTATTACTAACTCTGTATTTGCTCCATATTCTGCACAGTTTGTCTCTGAATTTAGTGCATTCCCCTTTATTTCCAACACCAGTATCTCTTCCTATTACTGCTTCTATTATACTAGCCTGGTGAATCCGAATCACGCCTCTCAGTCTCCCACTGAGTCCACTCCCGCTGCTCCACCTCCTATAATCACCCGTGATGAGCAGCCTGCCAGCACTAACCTATCCCTCAAATCACAATGGACCCCTCTTCCCCTCCCATTAGCTTCTGCTGAATGGATTAGCTCCTCTACTGGGCTTTCTCTCCAGGCAGGCTTCTTGTCAGAGCCAGACTCTATCCCGTTAGGCTAATGGAAACTGGGGTTGTTTTCCTCTCCTCTCCCATCATCTAAACATATACTGTTTAATCAGACGGTGAGTCACATCTAGCGCAGATGAGTTAAGAGGCTGCCGTGTTGAAGAAGGAGCTTTCAGACTTGCTGGAAGTTCGGCTGAAATTATTGTGAGAGCCTGTCAGAGGAAGAGAGAACGTGTGCATTTCTTGTGTGTCCTTCCCTTCATGTGACCTCCACAGAACCGTTTTAATTGGCCTCTATTTTTGGGGTGCAGTTATTGCTTGCCACTGAGGGGTAATGAAAGTATTTTCACAGAAGCAAATTAAATAAATTAATCAAATCAGAAGAAATGGCTTTCAGGACTGGCGGAGGGGAATCATACACAGAGAGAGCAAATTGATTTTCTTGTCTGTTTGTGGACTTTTGGAGCAGGTAAAACCAAAGCAGCATTGCATGTGACTTTCCTCGGGATTAAAACTCTCAGAGTAGGCCTCCTGATATCGGATTGCACCAGTAGCTAATGATTTACTAAGCAAGAAAAGTAATAATTTCTGAAGTGCGCAGTGCTGGTGTAATTTTGCCTGACAAGTAGCCACTTAAGCTAATGGTTGTCATATGTGTATCTTTCTGTGGGCCTGCGAGGCTGGAAGTGTTTGCTTGCTGAGGGGAGAATGGTGTGTCTCCCGCAGGAATGTCTACTCAGCTGCTCCCACACCCTCTATGCCGCAGTACCGCTCAGGGTTACGAGAAGTGAGGAAAGGAGAGACTCCAGCAGGGAGGTGTAATTTAAACCGACATCCAATAAAAATCTATATTGCAAAATAATCGCTCGTATGCTACTTACTGTTTCATCACAGGTACATTTTGATTAGTGAACTACAAAAGCAGCTGGTGTTCAATTTTTAGTTGAATAAGAAGGCTGAGGACTAAAAGTGTGAATATTCCACATAAACACACAAACACTGGCCTTTGCCACTGATAGTAACAGTGTTGCCTGTTAAGTGAATTTATGCTCTGAATAGTAAATGCATAATTTAACTAAGAAGAGCTATGAAATGAAAGGAAGAAAAAGAATTGGGTTTTGTTCCAAACAAAAAGAGAATAAAATATGTAATAGGAACCCACCGGCCACTTCATTAGGAACAATTTGCTAATAGCAGGTTGGACTTTTTTTTTGCATTCAGAACTGCCTCAGTTCTTCATGGCACAGATTCAACAAGGTGCTGGAAACATTCGTGAGAGATTTTGGTCCATATTGACACATTTGTAGCCCATTCATCGCCTGCATGTACATGATGTGAGATGAGATGTTGTGGCCATGGGAGTTCTTTGTATACAGTGAACTTACTGTCATATTCATGAAACCAGCTGGAGATGATTTGAGTTTTGTTTATGCAAAATTCTGACCCTACCATCTGAATGTCACAGCAGAAATCGAGACTTGTCAGACCAGGCAGCATTTTTCCAATCTTCTGAGCCCATGCGAGCTTTAGCTACAGTTTCCTATTCTTAGCTGATAGCAGTGGCGCCTCGCGTGGCTGCTTTAGCCCATCTGCTTCAAGGTTTGACATGTCGAACGGTTATTTGAGTTACTTTTCCGTTCCTATCAACATAAAGCAGTCTAGCCATTCTCCTCTGACACCTGGCATCAGCAAGTCTGGCATTTCAGAAACTGTTGCTCAATAGATATTTTCTCTTTTTTGGGTGTTTTCACTTTATTCAGGATCAGGGGCGGGGGTGCCAAAACACCTCGGACAGGTCGCCCATCTAATGCAGAGCTTAGACAGAAACCATTCACGCTCACATTCACACCTATGGCCAGCTGTTAGTTAACCTGACACATGCATGTTTTTGGACTGTGGGGGAAGTCAGAGTACCTGGACAGATAATTTAATTTGTTAGATTTGACTGTAGTGCAAATTTTATAAATCATAAAGTTATCAGTGTGTACCTGTCATAACGTGACTTCTAATTATTTTATCGTTAAGGTAGCATCCATCGCTATAGAATAGTTCTGATGTATCTCCTTTTCTTTCCTCCTGCCCACTTTATCTTAAGGAAACCAAACAGCTTGTGTGTCCTTGGATTGAATTGGAAAAACCTCTGTCAAAGAATATACCCCTGCAGTCATTCATTCTTTTAATTTCATACCAGACTTTTACGGAAATTACTTTCAATTCAGCAGTCACCCTTTCAGCCATTACAATACATTGAAATGTGCTGAATTATAACATATTCCCCTGAAGACACGGGTACTCACGGGTTGAACTGGAACAAGGATACCTCATGAATTTGTTATTTTAAGGATCATTTTTCCAAATAAAAAATGAACCGTAAAATGACTATAGGTATTCTTTAGTGTTTCCAGGTGCTGCATCATCATGTATTCTGTAATAGGAACATGATCTGTCTTCTTCCCTTCGGGGATGCAGACCAGTTCATTCTAAACAGTGAAACATGTCTATTTTAAAATAATGTCTCTAAACCTAATAGCTATTGAATGAAATGAAAGCAAATGAAGAAACAAAAAAAAAAAAAGATCTGTTGTGATCAGTCTTTGGCGATCTCTCGTTTTATTACAGGTGGTAATGCTCTTTTCATTCTGTATCCATTCATACACCATCTCCCCAGACACTGAAAAGCATTTCTTTACTATGATAGATAAGGAAAGTGTATCCTGTTACACACTGTGCCTAAGAGTCTTGAGAGTCTTTAGAGATTTACACACAGTTTGCTTTGACTTTTCAAGTGCAAATCCTGCCATACGATCTGTGTCACTTCAGACAGTATGCCCACATCTAAAGTCCATGTGCTATTCTAGGACTATAAAATATAATAAATCTGTGCCTTATGTTGGTACACAATGTCAGTAGCTGTACATTTCTGTATTAGCAGCGTTCTCTGAAGAAGAACAGCTGTATCCTTTTAAAAGATTGAGTCCTTGAATGAAGGTCACTGCAGGATTTGTTTTCATGGACACAGTTAGGTGTGGGTTGAAGAAGAAACTAATATATCTGCTTGCTGTGGACTTTCCATGTGGTCCCTCTGCTTTTAGGGTTCCTTCAGGTACTTTGGCTTCAACAGTCCAATGACATGCAGGTTAGGTTAGCCGGACTTTCTAAATTGGCCATAAGGGTGGATGTCATCATGCAAATCTCTGTGTTTTTGTTAGCTGTGTGATGGACAGGCAACCTCTTCTGTCTCTGCCCCGCTTCTCTGTCCCCAGTGTCACAACTCTGGTTGGTTAAGCATTTAAAAAAATAGAGCAAGGGATGGGTGAACTTTTTTTAATGTTAATTAAGAGCCCATGTTGGCTTATCAAAGATAGGATCTTCAGGTCAGCCTTCATTCTATAGCTTGTATAGTTCAGTGCTGCCAACATCAAAAGCTACAGGAAGTTGGTGTAATGCAAAATACAGTTTTATAACTGGGTTTTTTGGTTTTTTTGAAGCGCAATGTAAAACGAATTAAATGTAGTAAGTAACATGTGGCATGTGGTTGTTTTTCTAGAGAAAAGAGCTCTAATGGGTGCAATCATGTCCAAGTCTCTCCTCTGAGCAGCTCATCTCAGTTAGACTTCCTGGTAAAATAAAATACAGTAGATGACATCATTTTTCATTATTTTGATGAAAAATTAACATACATTACAATACATTACATTTCAAAATGCATTTTTGGTAGAATAACCAGTGACTATAAAGCTTGCATTCTCGACATTGGTAAGTTGTCATATTTCCGATTGACTGACAGATGTATAAATATCTACCAACTACTCAAGGCCATCTTTGTGGTACTTCTTGCTGCAGTTTGCTGTGATGGCACGCACGCATGCACACAAACACTCACACTCTCTCTCTCTCACTCACACACACACGCACGGACGCACACAAAGAAAGAGACAGCTGGTGATAGAGCCTTTTGGTTTGTTTTACCCTTCAGTCATTCTTGACTGCGCGTTTCCTCATCCACATACAGTATAGGTGCCACATTTTGTACATTTGTCTCCTCAGGAAAGGGAACAAAGTTATGTAGAATTGTTGTCTGGAATAAAATATGTTTTTGTGCTTTGCTGAATGAAGTTATTCACCCCCAAACCGAATGTGTCAATAAAAGTGTGTATGACGAGAATTTTGCAATGCTTGTGAAAATGGTATCACTGGGGTTTGGAGGATTGATTGTAGACATGATGCTTCAGTGCCTCTAACGTTGCTAAGTACTACTGTACCTCCTCTCCTCTCCTCGCCCCTTCTCGTCAGTTGATGCCCACTGCTACTGTCTCAGTCTGTGCAGCATGATATATGTCTAATGGGCTTCAGGTTCCAGTGTAGCATGACACCTTCAGTAATCCTAGCCTGTCAGCTCCACTATACCTTCCCTGCACTAATCCATAAGGGCTCTCACGCCAAGAAAATGTTGGTTTTCTGATGGAGCGCAAGTGAGCCCCTTCTCCATATTTTCCATCCATCTATTTCAAGCAATCTCTCTCTGTGTGTGTGTGTGTGTGTGTGTGTGTGTGTGTGTGTGTGTGTGTGTGTGTGTGTGTGTGTGTGTGTGT